GCTGAGACCTGCAGATGCACAGGGGTGAGCCAGGCTCTGAGACCAGCTCTGTCCACAGTGAGAGGACTTTTCCTTTCCCAACCCTAACTCTCACCACTTTTTCCTGTTCCTGGAACCTCCATTGGCTCTAGTCTGATCCTCCCAAAAATTAAAGTCTAAGATTAGACTCACCCTGGGTTCCAGAGACCAAAGGAGGGGTTTGCAGAATTCACAGTGAGCCCAGGTGCACCCCAGATGCCAGTGAGCTCTGTGCAGGGTTCAGAGTGTCCATGCTCACCATGCACGCCCCTGTGCCAGGAGATTTGCAATAAGCCTGGGAAAGTAGAGTCTGGGTCAAGGACATGAAGATCGGGGCCTCCAGTGAGCCATTCATTCCACTGGCTTTGATGCACACATCAGACACGGACAAAGGTATCATTTTCAGATCACTTGTGAAGATTGTATGATATAATTTGATCTGAGTACATGAACCTTTGCCATGGATGTGTCTTGGGTGCTCACACCTGCACAAACAGAGTTGCATGAGCCTCTAGATGGGCGTCTCTGAGAATTCACCAGGAGCCTGTGGTCACCAATGCTCTTCCTCTTCCCAGAGGCATCTCTTCCTGGATCATCACTGAGAGTTGAACCCAATGCAAGGGCTGTTGTCAGAGTGAGGTCCAGCACCCTAGCCTGAGACACCTTACAAATTAGGAGGACAGAGAGTACAGACTCCTTCTGTGGGAGCCACAGTTCCCTGGTCCTTTAAATGTGGGGTGTTTATCCGTATGAGCTTCTATGCTATGAAAGGCAGGACCAGAGCACGTGGGGCACCCATCCCTCTTGTTAGTGCATGTCCATGCTGTATGTTGACATTCATTGCAATCTGTGTCCATCTGACTCTTTCATTGCAAATATCCAAATTTGACAACTCTACAGTGTGGATTCTGATGTGCTGTCTGTCCTTAACTTGAAGCTGGATGCTCTTATGGTTGCTACTGATCCAGTCCTCAAGCCAGAACCGGGCCCCTGTGCAGACTAGTGAAGAAAAGGCGTGGGAAGCAACTCACCCAGCTCCCCTTTCTGCTCTTGAATGCAGAGGTGGACGTGGAGAAGAAATCAGACTGACTCTTTCTAAAGCAGTTTCTTCATGTTAGCACAATTCTTTCTTCTTTACATTTATTTTGTTTTCACCCCAGCCTCGGACATCCTCCCATCTCAGGAGGGCTCTCCTCTCACCTTATAGTCCTTTGAGTGTTGGGGGAAATTACTGACTGCAGGTGTTTATAGGAACAAGCTAATAATGGACGGCATGGCTCTGGTTGAGCATCGACCTATGAACCAAGAGGTAACAGTTCTAATCCTGGTCAGGGCACATACCCAGGTTGTGGGTTCTATCTCCAGTGTGAAGCATACAAAAGGCAGCTGATCTATGATTCACTCTCATGACTAATGTTTCTATCCCTCTCTCCCTCTCCCTTCATCTCTGAAATCAATAAAAATATATTCTTATAAAACTTTAAAAAAACCCAATCCAACAGATTTTGATAAGAGAACAATAGTGTCTGTTTCCCAAAGCCCCCCAAACACTGGGAGCCAAATCTGTCCTTCCTGTTCTGAGACCAGATAGAAACCATTTCCCCTGCCCTCTCATGGTAGGAGAGGCACCAAGACAACTCAGACAGAATCTTCACCAACTAGTTCCCTCCCTGGCTGTGCCTGGTAACCAGATGTGGCCGAGACAAGAACAAATACCAGTGGCCCTTCCCTTGTGTAGCCAGAAATGCATTTGTTTGTTTGTTTGTTTGTTTGTTTTATGGTAAATGCCTCAAGCTTAAAGGGAAATAGGTGAAATCTTGTCAGAAAAATGAAAAGCTTGTTGCTCTCTGCCAGAGGGCTCTGAAATGCTACCTCACACTCCAGCCATGTTCCAACAGTGACAAGAAAGAGAACATCATCAAGGAAAAGGCTTCTGGGAGAACCATGGAGGATCTAGCTACACCTTCTCCTCCCCCGCCTCTCCCTTGAGACGCTGCAATACAAATGAGTGGCTGGCTTTCAGCAACGTGTTGTGTGCTTCACCTGGATGGGGAACATGAGTAGCTAACATTGACTGTCCCTGGATTCTTTTTCTGGGGTTTTGTTGCTGTTGTTGTTGTTTTGTTTTGACAAGGGAACTGTCCCGAAGCCATCTGATATTTCTTTTAAAGAGGGACTCCTGGAGTCTGTAAATAAACAGACCTCTAGCTTCCTCTCAGGCAGTCAGCCCCAAGCAACCTGCTGAGATAAAGATGATAGAGAGATAGAGATAGAGATGATAGAGATAGAGATAGAGATAGAGATAGAGATAGAGATAGAGATACAGATGTAGACAGTTATAGAGGTAGACGAAAATGTAGACATAAACATAAATACAGATATAGATAGATGAATAGTTAAAGAAATAAATACACATCAATATAGATAGCTATATTAATAATAAAAATAGATGGATGACCTACTTACCAAAAACTCTCATGTTGGGGAGCACAGAGACTTGGTTGGAAAGTTTGTAAGGAGGACATTCTGAGAAAAGGGAAGTGTGCGGAAGGCCACCTACCCTGTTTATCTGAATTCCGCCTTAGGGGAGACTTAGGGGAGTATCAAAAGTGATGCCCCTAATTATTCCTTGACCTTTCCAAACAAGTTTGTGCATGTGCATACCCCTGGGTGTTTACTGGAATCCTTATGCTTAATCCCTGGGTGCCCTTGCTTAAAGGACACTACAAACACATGTGTCCTCCCAAGATTACTACTGATTCTATCTTAAAGGTAAACTTTATCTCAAACTGCTATTAAAATAAAAGGCCAACAAGGCAGGCAATAGAGGTTGCCTGGTCCCTTTAGCCAGGCAGTCCTTTAGCCTCTCTTTCACAGTGAAATTGTGTTGGAGTAATCCATTCATCTGACGTTCAGGGGTTGCTGGTCAGCCCTGGCAAGGTGGTGCCCCATGCCAGGAGCCCCAGCAACTCACCTGTTGAGATTAATATCTTGACTCCATGCCTTTAATTGGAGACATTGAATTACAGCCTAGGCATTTGTTTTGCATCCATAGTCTGGATTCAAATTTGCTGATGGGCAAATACCTAAAATAAAATGCTTATTTTTTTCTCCCTGCCTGATCCTTCCAGAATTAGGAAATTATTATTTATTCTTATTTTTATGTCAACATAATTATTTGTGTAAGAACAATAAGAATATGTTATCCTTGTTACAAGACACAATTGAAAACAATGCTTATGTTACCACAGCTTTGACTGGAATGTCATCTTTGCACCTAGAATTTGGTGCCTAGAATCCAGTTTAAGGAATTGAGTTGATTTTATGGAGCGCGGTTCCTGGCTAACAAGCTTCCCAGCCTTCTAGGCAGCGCTTCATTGCAGGCTAGGCACCCGGGGTTATCATGGGGACCTCAAACATTCTCTCAGTCATTTCAGCCTTTCCCCACAAAAACTGCTCCAACGTCTTGCCTCTTATCCTCAGGTGCCATTGATCACACTGACTGACTTTGTTATTTCAGTGAGAGGTGACCTTGATGCAGACAAGATATGTGGCTATGGGACTGCTCGCTGCCGGTGGAATTGTAAAAGACAGGAATTCAAAATTGGAGTCTGCCCCAACACTAACCCGTGCTGTTTGAAAAGACGGATGGCACCTCATTGAATCCTGTGAAAGACCCAAGCCCACTGGGGCCTTATTCCTAGACACGCTGACGGCTGAACCTCAGAGCCTCCCCTTTTTGAGAGCTAACAGACAGAAAGTCCAGGTGCAGCCCCTGAGCTGGATATTAAAGGAGGGTTTGCTAAGAGGCAGAGTGGAGGCAGCAGAGTGGGGGCAGCAGGGCCTCGGCTTCCAGGCCCCCAACGGCTCTTCTCTGCTGTGAAAGGAATGCAGGTTAACTGAGTTTCAGCACTGTAAATCCGAACTAACATATATCTAATCAGCCACAGCCTAACTGAACATCGTGTTTTTTTGTTTTTGGCCTGAATTATAGCAATTGATCTTGATAATATTGATGTTGTTTTTCTGATCAGAAGTTTTGCTCAGCAGTCATGTATGTCTTTTGTTCTTTACTTTGGAAAATAAATCAATATTAAGGGCAATTTTTTTGGTATACACTGTAATGCAAAACATCAACTTCTGGGGAGGAAAACAATGTATGATGAGAAGGGTGTAGAGTAGACCAAAAGGTTGACCCAAGTGGATGTCTGTGAGCATCAAAGCCAGGAGGTGGCAGCAGAGAGCACATGCCCTGGGCAGTGTTAGGGGGTGGCATCTACTCACTGTCCCTAGGGAAAGGGAGTAATAGAACTCTTTTCCTGGCTTTCCCATCAAAACTGTCTCATGGTAACCAAAAGATTTATGACGAAAAGCTTCTCTCTGCAAAAGTAGCCCAGCTGATGAATGAAGTAAGAATAAAATGAGAATGCCACTATTTTGCAAACAGCCAGGGGACTCATGATCTAGCCCATAAATGTCAGCGGCCGCTACAGTGAACAAGAACCACGCCTGGTACTGTGTGCTCTTGGTAGACATACACGCTGCCACCTGTTAAGCCCACCTGTGCTCTTTGGGACAAATAAGGTGGATCAGCCCATCTCCCTGGAGCCACCACACCCACCCAGCTTCATCCCTGGACAAGCCCCCTCCTAGATTATTTCCACGAGCACTCAAGATGCCTTATCACTTCCTCGGAAAATACTTTGGAATGTATAACTCAGAAAAAAATGTAATCACAGTTCTATTTCCACAACTGGAGAAAACTAGCACTCACTTCTTAATATAACTCAACAACCACCAAGTGTTCAAATGCTCTCGTGTTTCATAAGTGCTCTTGTCAGTCAGTTTCTGAGAATTAGGACCCTAAAGGCCCACATAACGCCATTGGCTGTGTGCCTGAAATAGCCCCTCCCCCTCAAGTATAATTTACATAAACATATTCATAATGACTGCTCCTCTCAGCCAGAAAAAAAGTCACACTATTTTACAAAGTCATACTCTTTTAATTTCATGGCTTTATACAAAAGAACAAAGGCAGATTGTTCTAGTTTATTGTCTCCAGAATTAGTAAGACATAGTTGATGCACTGCATACACATTAGGGAACTCAACAGCATTGCTGTCTCTTCTTTCTGTGAAGGGTGGGATGGATCTGAAGACGGCAGTTTGAAATGGAAGACCAATACGCCTTTGAATTTAGCCTCATGAAAATCAACAGAAAGAAGAATGGAGTTTGGACATTTTCCACTTTTGAATTATTTGAACGAGAGAGAGAAAGAGAGGAGAGAGAGGGAGAGGGAGAGAGAGAGAGAGAGAGAGAGAGAGAGAGAGAGAGAGAGAGAAGAACATGGGGGAGCAGATCTACACCAAGGTCCTTCCTGGGATGAGGAGCCGGCAGTGATGAGATGGTCAGCACCTCCTCCTCCTGGCCTCCAGGTGGAGCCCATTACCTCCTGGAAAACGTGAGCGTAAGATGCAGGACCACCACCTTCAGCATCCTCCTTGATCTTGCAGCCTCTGCTGTCTTGCTCACCCTCTCCTTGGTTCAAATGACCTGAGATCTCACACCCTGAGAGGTTAGAGGAGAAACATGCTATGCATTAGGTGTATGGACAACATCCTTTTAGGAAAAGCTAGAAACAAGGATGAGATATTCTGCAAGGGCCCTGCTGCCATCTCCATCAGGATGGGGGTGGCTTTCGGCAGGCAAAGGGCTTGATCATTTTTCTGGAAAAACAGAGTGGTGGTGGACGAGGAACAGAGCTCAGAATATCATTCCTTTAGGGCAGGTGTGACGCCAGCTGACTCCTAACAACTTCCCAGACTTTGCCCATCAAAGCACAGAATCGGCTCCTTGTGGGCAGGTCATTCTTTTCAGAAATGTCTGGGAAGCTTGTTTGCCCTTTAGTTCCAGACAGGACCTGAGAGGTGACTATTTGGGGCTCAATTTCTTCATCTAATTAGATCAAGTAATTTTAATGAATTAGAACAAACCTTTAGCTGAGTGGTGTTTATGAAAACACTTGCTATATATATTTTTAAAATATAATTTATTGATTTCACAGAGGAAGGAAGAGGGAGAGAGAGATAGAAACATCCACGATAAGAGATAATCATAGATCGGCTGCCTCCTGCATGCCCCCCCCGCCCCCCCCCCCCCCCCCCCCCGCCGCCCCGGGGACCAAGCTCACAACTCTGGCATGTGCCCTTGATCGGAATCAAACCTGGGACCTTTCAGTTCGCAGGCCGACACTCTATCCACTGAGCCAAACTGGCTAGGGCAACACTGTTATTTTTGATTCATAATTCATCAATATTGGTACCTGAATATTTCTCCCTCTTTCTGCGACTTTTCTTTTACCCTACCTACTCTTCCTTTTTCATTTAAAAAAATATATATATTTTTTTATTGATTTCAGAGAGGAAGGAAGAAGAAGAAGAGAGAGAAACATTAATGATGAGAGAGAATCATCAATTGGCTGCTTCCTGCACACCCACCGCTGGGGATCGAGCCCCAACCCGGGCATGTGCCCCCAGACGGAACTGAACCTGGGACCCTTCAGTACACAGGACGACGCTCTATCCACTGAACAAAACCAGCCAGGGCACCCTGCTCTCTTTCTTTCTTCTTTCTTCTTTCTTTCTTTCTTTCTTTTTTTAAAAATATATTTCTTTATTGATTTCAGAGAGGAAGGGAGAGGAAGAGAAAGAAAGAAGCATCAATGATGAGAATCATTGATCAGCTGCCTCCAGCATGTCCCCTACTGGGGATAGAGCCCAAAACCCAGGCATGTGCCCTTGGCTGGAATCAAACCTGGGACTCTTTAGCCCGCAGGGCAATGCTCTATCCACTCAGCCAAACCAGCTAGGGCTCTGTTCTTTCTTATTCACAACCCACACAAGGCATTCAGGCATGGTATTTATTTCCTGAGAAGATGGCTTAGTGTTCATCCAGCCAGCAGGGGAGGACAATATGTCCCCGTGAGTCCTATGTGACCGAGACATTACCTGGAACGCTGCCCTTCCCGGGTGCAGGCCATGCCCCCAGCTCAGCAATAAAGGGCCCCACTGCCTGCCAGCCCACCAGGCCCTGTGGCTCACTGTCCCACAGCCGCATGGACCGACTCTTCTGGCCACGGGCCCTGCTCCTGGTAGTCCTGCTGTTTCCAGGTAAATGGGAGCTGTGACCTGGGCCAAAGGGCCAGGGTCTCGCCCCTGGTCACTCAGGGATGGGTGTCCAGGCTGAGTGGGGAGACCACAAGCTCTGGGAGCCCATTTACTGGTGGGGATTTTAGGTGAGAGTCTCCTGGCTGGCATCCCAGTGACACTGGCTGTACAGATGGCCCAGGCTTCCCAGGAGGGAGGCTCCAACTCCAATTCCTCTGTCTTCCCTCTCCCATGCCCTCCCCTCACAGAGGACAGTCTCTCTTCTGTATCTGGGAGAACCTTAAAGTCTAGGGGTTGGCTGCACAGACACCAAACACCCTTTGCTGTATCCACACAGGGCTGTGCGGGACCAGGCATGTGAGCCAGGGAGGCACCGAGGGCCCCAGGGCACCCAAGGATGAGGCCCTCACACCTGGAACCAATGACTCTCAGAGGCTTCACCACCCAGTAAAGCGCTACCTTGTGCCACTCACCCCTCTGCTGGCGGGTAAGTAAGTCCCCTGCGCCCAGTTCACCTGCCCCGTCCATGTGTCTTCTGAGTCACTGGGGCAACCCTGTGCTTAGGCGCTTCGGTGAGTAATAATGTTATCCATACACAGCTCTTCACGCTGGCTGCTCTAAATGTTTGGGTGTGGAACTTCAGTTATGCAAGACGAATAGATTTCAGAGGTTGGCGTACAGCTTGGGCCTCCAAGTTAACAACGTGGTGTTTCCCATTTATACAATTGGTTAAGAGGGTAGGTCTTTGTTGTTGTTTTTTACTTTATTTATATATATATTTATTTATTTATTTTTATTATTTTTTTTATTGCTTAAAGTATTACAAAGGGTATTACATATGTGTCCTCCCCCCCCCCCGCCCTTGACAGTCCCCTAGACTCCCCTACCCCCCAGTGTCTTATGTCCATTGGTTATGCTTATATGCATGCATACAAGTCCTTCGGTTGATCTCTTACCCCCCTCCCTCCTGCCCCCCAACCCTTCCCGGCCTTCCCGCTGCAGTTTGACAATCTGTTTGAGGCAGCTCTGCCTCTGTATCTATTATTGTTCAAAAGTTTATAATGGTCTCTATTGTCCATAAATGAGTGAGAGCATGTGGTATTTTTCCTTCATTGACTGGCTTATTTCACTTAGCATAATGCTCTCCAGTTCCATCCATGCCGTTGCAAATGGTAAGAGTTCCTTCCTTTTTACAGCAGCATAGTATTCCATCGTGTAGATGTACCACAGTTTTCTAATCCATTCATAAGATGGTAAGTCTTATGTTGAGTGGTCAGACCACAAGAAAAAAAAAAGCAAAAGGACACAAGGAAACTTTGTGAGGTGATATTCCTGTATTACCTGGATTGTGGATGGTATCACGGACATATAGGCATAACATTGTGTACAATCAGGGTTTTGAATTATTAAAAAAAAAAAAAAAAGGAGTGCTGATAAGAAAACAAAGTGATAAGAAAATAGTGTTAATTGATTGACCAGTTGATTCTTTGGTCTAGACCAGGGGTGGGCAAACTTTTTGACTCGAGGGCCACAATGGGTTCTTAAACTGAACCGGAGGGCCGGAACAAAAGCATGGATGGAGTGTTTGTGTGAACTAATATCAATTCAAAGTAAACATCATTACATAAAAGGGTACGGTCTTTTTTTTTTTAGTTTTATTCATTTCAAACAGGCCGGATCCGGCCCGCGGGCCATAGTTTGCCCAGGGCTGAGCTAGACTCTAGCCAAATAATTATACTGCATCTAGCGAAAGAAGTTAGGATAGGAAGACGGTAACTCCCCTTCACCTTGGATAGGTGTGAAGGTCAAATCCCAAATTGGTGGTGGAGACTCTGATGAGATGGGGGCACCTTTGGGGTGCAGTCTTCCCCGAGGACACGTACCTTGATCTCTGATCCTGGGCCTCTGCTTTCATTGTGTTCATCTATATTTTTAACACTTGCCCCTTGCTCTTGTCTATCAGTTATCCTCAAAATATGCCATTGATAAGAAAAACTAATGTTTAATAATTTCAGTCCTTGAACTATGGAGTGAAATATCAAGCTCACATTACTCAAGTACCTCGGCACCTGTTCAAGGGACCAAGTAGTCACTCAGGCACTCCCTCAAAATGAGGGGAAATTTTTTCCAATTCTTTAAAACTCTACCCACTGTCTTCCCTGTTCACCTGGACTAGCCTAGCTGGCCCACCTCTCCACAAGAAGGGCTCAATCCCCCTCCCAGGGGACCACTGCATTTGTACACATTTGATGGGCCCATACCACTTCCCAGGTTGCCTCAGAGAGTCCTTATCTGTCCCCTTGCACAACCTTGTAAGTCAAAGAGTCACATTTGCTCTGTAACACACCCATCACTATTAGCTTTCCTAGTTGCCTCTGATTTGGCTGTTCATTTTACAGGGATCGGGAAGGTGACATATAAGCCCGATTCAAGAATCTGCCTTTTCTACTCTCAGAATGGTTGCATGGCAATGTGGGAGATCATATGCAAAAGACGTCTCTTTCCTATCCCTCACCATCCTACCAGTAGCCCTTTGGGCTAAAGTTATTTCTGAGATGGTCTTAAGAGACTAATGTTGGCTATTTCTTTATACAGACTATGGAACAGGTTTCAAAGTTGTCAACTGCAGGAAAAGCGAAGGCCACTGTCAAGAATATTGTAATTATATGGAAATACAAGTGGGCTACTGCTCTGAAAGAAAGGATGCCTGCTGTTTACCTCAGAATTGAGGCTGCTGACCCAGAAGCCAGAGAGTCGTCCACCTGCTGTCTTCTTGGGCCACAGCACAGACCCACGTGCAGGTCATCTGGGGAAGGACCTGAGCAGAGAGGAGCTGAGCATTGTCACCTGGGCTAGGAAGTCTAAATATGTTACTGTAGAAAAATAAAAATAAAAATGGGCTATGCATAATCTTATAGACATGATCTTAGAGAAAGTGACTTGGCTAGAGATGAACAAAATCACACAATTTTTGCTAGTGATGTGGATGTAATAAACTTTATAGGCAAGCATTCAAGGAATTCATTCTTTTGTATTAAAACTATGTTTTGAGGGTCTACCTTTCTTCTAGTCACTGACAAATATAATGAGTTGAGAACATGGATATGTGGGGAGAAAAGCACTAACTAAATAGAAACAATGAAATGCTACATATTCCACCATGTGGATCTATCCCAGGCGATGTGTGGAGAAGATCAATAGAAGAGTGTTAAGAAAGGTTCTTGGAGAAATGTGAGTGGGGTTTTGGAAGATGATCAGGAGTTTGTTGAGTGAAAGAGAGAGGCTGATGTTTCCAGGCAACAGGTAGAGCTTGTAGAAAGGTGTGGAGACATGAAGCATGGTTTGCTAAGGAAATGCAAATAGAGGGACTAATTACAAGGATCAGACGAGGCTGGTGTAGGAATGCTGTGTGAAATTCTCAAAAGAAAAGTATTATGCTAAAGACCTTGGACTATTAAACAACAGAAGGTTTCCAGGTGCTCTGAGGCAGTGACATCAACATGGTCTCCAGTTAAGAATGTTTATCCTGACAAAAGAATGGGCCTGGACTGGAAATGTGTGAAACTAGAGGCAGGATCAGGAGTAAGAGATGAGGGCAATGGGTGGGGCCTGGGGACTCACACTTGGTGACTAAGAGGACATAGTGGCTATGAAGAGGGAACAGTGAAGGGAGGGATAACCGAAGAGACTGACCTTACAGGTTTTGTGACAGAGAAGGAAGGACATCAGATGAGGAAGAGTTGTGTTAACCAAGGCAGCACACAGAAGAGGAGGAGAGGAGGAAGAGCAGGGGGAAAACTAGATTGGCTCTGGACGCATTGATTTTGAAAACCTGAGACATTCACCCATGGATTCCAGGAGAGAGGAAGAGACAAGAAGTAAAAGAGTAAAGTCTTTTACTTAGTCCAGCCAGTGTGTCTCAGTGGTTGAGCATTGACCTAGGAACCAGGAGGTCATTGCCCATTCACGGTCAGGGCACATGCTCAGTAGAGGGCGTGCAAGAGGCAGCTGATCAATGATTCATCATGGATGTCTCTCTCTCTCTCTCTCTCTCTCCCTTCCCCTCTGAAATCAATAAAAATATAGATATTTTTAATGTCATTTACTTATAGTTGGAAACAAAATCTTGAAAAAGTCTTAGAATTTATCTGGCACAGAAATGAGGAGTTGCTGAGGGAGATGAAGAGGGCTCTGAAAGAGGAGAAAAGAGAAATCTCAGTGGAATGGAAGAGGGTCCAGGGAAGACAGTGGTGTCTGAGACAACAGGGAAGATCTAGAGAAAAGTGAAGTATCCATCTATCCCCACGTTTTTCTCAGCTGCATCTAGTTGAGAGATTGGGCATCAGGGGACCCTGGTCCTAGGTCAAGGTCCATCAGCAATGTAGCTTTGGATGTTTACATCAAGCAAAGTAAGTGATGAGAAAATAGTTTTAATTGATTGACCAGTTGATTCTTTGGTCTAGACCAGGGGTGGGCAAACTTTTTGACTCGAGGGCCACAATGGGTTCTTAAACTGGACCGGAGGGCTGGAACAAAAGCATGGATGGAGTGTTTGTGTGAACTAATATAAATTCAAAGTAAACATCATTACATAAAAGGGTATGGTCTTTTTTTTTTTTTTTTTTAGTTTTATTCATTTCAAACAGGCCGGATCCGCCCCGCAGGCTGTAGTTTTCGGATCCGTCCCGCGGGCTGTAGTTTGCCCACGGCTGGCACAAATAATTATACTGCATCTAGCGAAAGAAGTTAGGTCAGAAAGAGGATAACTCCCCTTTACCTTGGATGGGTGTGAAGGTCAAATCCCAAATTGGTGGTGGTGATCATCTTCCAAAAATCTGCTCACAACAGCAAAGTAAGCCTGAGGATGTCAGCATCTCCTAAGTGATAAAAACAAAAATGTACTAAAGGGAGTTTTCTGTTTGTTTGTTTTGGTGTAAGGGTTAAAATAGTGATTAGCTATAAGTTGAAAGTGGGGACTAGTGTGCATGTGAGGGGATCTTTGAAAGAAAGCATAAAGCTGAGATGATTGATAAGGAGATGGAGAAAACTAGAGTCCTCTCTGCAAAAGTATATCTAAGTATGTCATCATTCTCCTAAGTCTCTCTAGTGGTGCCCCTGATATCACTCCCTCTCTCATTCACTCACGCATTCACTCACTCATTCATTCATTCACTCACTCATTCTTTCAAAAACCATGCAGTAACCATGCACAGTGCTCCAGGTACTGTTCTAGATTCAGGAGGTCCAGTAATGAACAAAATCCCCCACACTCATGTAGCTCACATTCACATTTGGGAGACAGAAAAGCAATATATGTCAGTAAAAATACGATATATTAGAAAGCGATCAACGATACAGAAAAAATGTTGGGCAGGGAATACAAATTGTGAGGCAGAGGGTGGCATTCTGGAGGCAGGAGGGAGAGAAGGTCTCACTGAGAGGTAGACTGGGAGTAAAGACCTGAAGGAGGTGAGGGGTGGGCCCTCTGTGGTCTGGTTTATGTTTGATGGGCAGTGGGCGTCCCAGCAAGAAACCACACAGCCAGTGCCCAGGAATAAGCATGTAGGCTATTTGAGGAATGACAAGAGGAGGCCAGTGTGGCTGTAGAAAAGGGAATCAGGGCA